TTTTTGCTTTTAAAAAATAAGATATCCAATTCATCTGCCCTGAAGACTATATAATGATTGGAGAACTAGAGAAATGTTGGCATCAAAAGAGTCAAGAGAGAAAACTGACCAGATGAAAGATGGAGGGAAGGATTATTTTTTTAAAGTTGTGGGGAAGAGGACGGTGGTTCTTTAACAACCTGAAGGACTAGTATTAGGAAAAGGGCATCTAGATATTTAGAATGTTCCTACGGCTTCAGTCAATGTGCAAGAACTGAAAATAAACATCCCCTAAGATTTCCAAGGAGACCAAGGTGAACCAGGAAGTCAGATTTGATGTTTCTAAGGCTAAAGGAGTTTTTAAATCCTCTGAGGTGTCCTTCAGGTTGCCTTTGGCAGGTTAGAGTGCCCCAGTGGCACTCCTAGATTACACTCTGCCTCCCAAGAGTCTGGGAGGCTCAATCCATTAGTGAAATTCATGGAGAGAAGAAGCTATTACAGCACAAAAATATGCTTAGAAGGCCAGTAACATATGTTGTCTCAGCCCACAGCTCTAGGGAGCTTGAAACTATTATACCTTTCAGTGAAACAAAGCTGACTAATCTCAGGAACAAACACAGAATTTACTGCACCTACAAAAGGATAGTCCTCATGTTGCAGAAACTTCACACACACAGTAAGACAGGCTTACATTTAGGACATTCCATTAGGACAATAACTGCTGCAACAGGACAGAGAGTAGTTAGACATCCTGCAACAGCTCCCCTATTCAAGCACATCAGCCTCCTTCCTCTCCTCTAAAGAAACTGCTAAATTCACGTTTCATGAAGACTTCCAGACAACTCATCAGACACCCTTCTTGTTCAGTTTTGTATCCTATTTCTAAGGCCTACAAAGATTTTGAGGACAGCCTTTATCTGTTTGCACAGTTCTCCCTTTATGGTGTTATGCACACTCTCCAGTCTGTAAATAGTGATAAATAATTTGCCTGTGCAGAAAGAGCCTCTTTTGTAAATACTAGAATGCTGTCCGCCCTTCTTTCTGGGATTATTCATGGCCATTATTTTTAGCAGATGACAGCTTCTGGGATTTGCCAATATACCTATTTCTCTCTGGAATGGGAAATGAGGGTAAGGCAATTCAGCCACTCTATTACAACCCCCAGCTAGAGAACCTGGCTCTTTAGCTCAAATTGTAGAGATTTTCACTTTTAGCTTTAGAAGACCTTGATTTAAACCAAGATGCCAGCCACTACTCACCACAAATGGAATTGCTCAAGCAACAATAAAATTATAATCCCGCAAAAAAAGACAAGCAGCTCATACCACACCTGCTAAGAGTAGTACAACAGAGTATTTGATTTCAAAACAAATAAGATTATGATGCCCCATCAAGGCTACGTCTAAACTGCAGGCTTCTTGCGCAAAAAGCTTTCTGCAGAAGAGATCTTCTGCAAAAACTTCTTGTGCAAGAGCGCGTCCACACTGTATGGACGGAAAGCTCTGATTGCTATTCACATAATAGCCACCAGAGCATCTGTGCTTTTTTTGATTGGATCTTTTGGCGCAAAAACCCCCTGTTGCCCATTCACACACACCTTTTTGCGCAAGAGCAGTAGTGCAAAAAGGAGTTATTCCTTGTAGGAAAAGGTATACCTACACCGCAAAAAGCCCACTGTTCTGTCGATTAACTGTAAATTTTCTTGCACAAAAATGAGCTTGTGGTGTGGACGCTCTGCGGGTTTTTGCGCAAAAACCTTGTAGTGTAGACATAGCCCTAATGTCCTAATTTGCTTCATGACCATTGGTCCATGCAGTTTTGCAATCCTCTCCCAGGAAGACAGTATCATATGGTATGACAACCTTGAGTAAGGAAGTAGATTTTGGAGTCAATGTCCACCCAGAACCAGCATGCAGGATTTTAGCTGGTTCTTCCACAAGCTAGAGGGCTCCGTATCTTCACTAGAAACAACACCAAATATTACAGTGCCCAATAAGGGGATTCTGTTCACTCAGAACCAAGGTTTCAGACTTTTATGGTTTGGATACATAAACCTCTAATGGCCATTCACCTCACCAACAACCTGCCCCAGCCTTCTTTATAGTGTGGACCAAATCCACAATCCTGTGTAGTCCCTCCCAACTTAAATCCTGTCAAACCATTCACTTGTTGGCACTGCATAATGAAATTTGAAGTGGGCAATAGATCCCAGCCCTACAATATGTTTGTTCTCTCATCACTGGATAGGAAAGGATGGAAAGTCTTCACAAGAAGTAGTAGTACAGAGCTCTTAGGTAAAAGTCTCAGCAGTTACAAAGTGGGGAGAATAGCAAGCCACTCACTCACACATTTACCTTTGTCCTCAAAATGTAGCTGCAAGGAAGTAAGAGAATGCTTCAGAGACCACAATCTCTTCTGGTGAGGTAGGGATTAGGAATATAGGAGTTACCAAAACAAAACAGACGGTTGGTCCATCTTTAAGTGATAGATTGTCAGCAAGGAATGTCAGGAATATAGGGGTTACCAAAACAAAAACAGACTGTTGGTCCATCTTTAAGTGATAGATTGTCAGCAAGGAATGTATGATGCTTCATAGGTAAGTAATCCTTCCCTGACATATGATGTATCTAGTTGTGCAATGCATGAGAGAAAATTCCAATTTGACCCCACCCAGAGAGACAGAAGGATCCTGACTCTAGTCATTTTACTCTGAAGAGCAATTTTAAATGCTATTCCTATTACACAAAGAAAAGCATCAGAGCACTCGTAAGACGTAACTACTTCTCAGCTACATTTGAATTCCAGAGTGGGGCGGGAGAATGATACGATTTTTATGCAACTTACTACAATAGTATCTTCATGAGATTGACAATGTAATGGTTCCTAGTGAGCTTCATTGAGTCTCTAGTTCAGCTTCTATTTTGGAAGGCAGAAAACATCTGCTTAGGGTAGAGATTTATGTTTATTTTGAGGAGGGAGACTCAGGAGGAATTTAAGAGAACAAAAGTTCACCTCCCCCAACAAAAAAGGGCACAGAGCTTGGGAAGTGCAACAGGCAAAAAATAGGCAGTTGGCACAGAAAGTGGACAAACTGGTTAAAGCATTTGGCCCAGGATAGCTGCACTTGTTGCTGTTTCTGCTGAGGAGTCTGACCCCTTCTGCAGAAAGGAAGGACAAGCCATAGATGGCCTGTGCTCTCAAAGCACACACAAAACCTGGTGAACACCCAGTACACCATCATCCCATATTTGTTGATGCACTAAAGAAGAGAGGACATTGCCAGGGTTTTAAGCAGTTACCAGATAGCAAAAGCAGGTAGGTTGAGAAGAATTGATCCTCTTACTCCCCCCCCCAAATAAATATTTCTCAGCTTGAACATCACCTGATATTCACTACTCAAGCCCTAGAAAGCCCAAAATGAAAGATCAGCAGCCAGTTAAGCAAGGACAGGAGTGGTGGAAGTTTCTGCAGCACAGAATAACTTGTCACCCTTAGCTCTGGGAGATAGGAATGTATAATATGAGGAGAATGTTTGTCCCTAGCAGATAGGATATGAATGCCTAAGGGGCAGAAAAACAAATGGTCCAAATGGACTTGAGGAACGGGTAGCACGCTGAAGAGGCCAATTTGTTTTGGGAGTGGATATAGGAGTTAATTTCCATCCACACCTCCCCAGATACCCAGTGGGGGTTAGACTCTGGACTGTATAGGATCCAGGTGGTCTGCTGCTGTTGGAATACATTTATCTTAGAAGACTAGAAGCAGCTAGTTGGATACAGGAGAGGTGTCAGTACTGCAACATTGCTTCCCCGCCGTCCAGTAGGCACTGGGCAGCCTAAGGGTGCCTATCCCTTTAACAGAAGCTCAGCCAGACTCCGGGGCCTGCAGCTCCGGTTTCAGTGTGGGAAGCCAGTTTGCATGAAGTGCTCACAAAGGGGCCCTGTCCTTTTCTCTCCTCCCACCCCTTCCCTGGCTGTGAAGGAGAGAAGCCTGCTCCAAACTGAAGGAGATGGGGTCCCCATAGAGAACCCACCCTAGAGTTTGCAAGGGAGAAGCAAGGGGAGCCAGGGACTGAGTAGGAGCGCTGGCATTCAGGGAGGTTCTGGGGAACCTCGTGCAGATGCGGATGGGCTAGCTGTGTGCCTGGAAACCGAGGCAGTGCCAGAGTTATCCAGCCACGGGTCAGGCTGACTCAGCAGCTGGGATTGAAGAGCAGAGCAGCCGGTTTCCAAATAATGCCATGGCAAAGTTCCTATTTCACCGTGACCATTTGTCCTGATTTTATAGGGGGAGCCCCCATTATTTCAGACTTTTGTCTTATATGGCGGCTGTTTCCCCCACCCCGTGCTCATTTTTCACACACGCCCTCTTGTCCCCCTCATTGTACCCGCCTCATGGCAGGTGCTTTCCCCCCCCCCCCCCCCCCGGCACACCCCAGGGCCCGACA